TGGGCTCCTGTGCGGATGCTTCGATATTGCCAGAAATCTAATTAATATTAATGATGGATCATGGCTAGCAGTGGAATCCAGGATGCACATTTCGTCCTATCGGTATCATATAAAAACCCTTATACTAAAAACTATACTTGTTGCACAAGAAGTGGCTATCGTGGCTCGTGGTGTAGTGGATAACGCGCTGGCATTTGAAGTGATCGATCACTCACTGGGAAGCAGGTGCATCCAGCTGACGAGTCCCAAATAGGATGAAATGCGCATCCTGGATTCCACTGCTAGCCACGATCCATCATTAACATAACACTAATCTATGTAACTTTCTGAACGGTTCTTGTAAGTACACCTTTACACAATAGGAATCCTACAGCTTCGTTACCAAAAGCACATTTTTTGATTATCGATAATATCTATGTCCATAGTTTTTAACGTTTGCACACGACCTTTGTTGTTCGACCTCTTTTATCGAGATGTAGTGGGCGTTGCTGATAGGAATCGATATAAGTAGTATGTATTGAGAGTGTGACAGAAATCATAGGGAATTACCAGCAATGAGTAAGGATTCCGCCAAGAGAAACACAAGAGTGAATCAATAAAGAAGCAGAAGAGGAAATGAAGCATATTTTGCAAATGATGGTTTCAAATGCAAGGTGTACCATATTTAATGACCTACTGTCCCACTTGTTGACAATACCTGTCTTCTGCTTCTTTCAGAGATTCTTATCACCTTCAGCTGTAACCATATTCCTGTACTACTATTACCTAGCATTATTTTCTTTGTGTTTACTGACTGCTTTTATAGTCTGATTTGTCATGTTACTGTTCCCTTTATTGATTGGTTAGGTCCAGAACATTGTCATTCATCTCTCTTCCCATATTATTTACATATGCATTGATGTGAGGATGCCAAAGATGTATTCAGTCTTGATTTTACTATCCGGTTATATCAAATGACATCCTGACACTGGTAGCTTACTGTACAAAATTTTAAATCAAGTGAGCGTGTGGAAGATTTAGAGCGTTCAAAATGAATTCTATTCATCCTGCAATGTTTGATGTTCGTGCTTTACAAAAGTTTATGAGGGTAACTAATAATATGACGCTATATAAGAATTTACCATCTAGCAGACCATTCAGTATTCTTGAAAAGTAATCTATTTCCAAGTTAAAAACAAGCCTTTCTGGTCATCTAGAACTCACAAGAGAGTAGGACGACTTGTGGAAGATTTCGTTTATCTAGTTTCATTGTCTCAGAAAATTTTGTGAAATTAGTAGAAACATCCTTGAAATATTTGACCATAACTCAACACTGAGTCTTAGCTTTAATTAAACCACAGAAAAGAGAATTAATATTCGCCTTGAATCACTTTGAATAGCATTTTTTAATTTCCATGCGCTTGTCGAAGGGATTACACTGAAAAGATAGAGAGTTAGGCTTACATTAGCTTCTCTGAACAAGTTAAGTGGATCTATGACAACCAACAAACACCACCACCAACAACAACAACAACAAGCTCCAATCATCATTAACAGGAGAAAATTAAAGCAAGTAGCCTCTTTCACCCACCTATCTAGGCAGGCAGCACCCCTTCAACTACACGAGGCACTGCCACACACGAAGACGTCTAAGCCAACCAGCATCGGAATGACAGCAAGACAGGCGTTCATTAGCCTGAAACCAGTGTGAAGATCTACTGCACTCAGTATAATGCGTGAACAACATTCGGATTTTCAACACCAATTCAGTGAAGTCAGTGCTTCCTATGGCTCAGCAACTTAGCACGTCACGAAAGGCATCTCCAACAAACTGTAGACATTGATCAACAACTGCCGCCTACGCTGGCTCGTTACTGAAGATCAGATGGATTGCCAGAATAATGAGAATAGGTAACAAGGAACTCTGGCTGGCTGGTGACGAACCAACCAACAACCTACCACTCAACAAATATGTAGTGGGGGGAAGTGGAGATGGATTGGATTGGGCATGTACTGACAGCTTGGAATCAAGTAATTCCAAACCCGCTGTGACTTACACAAATACAACCTTTATTTAATGCCAACCTATTACTCAGCGCCCAATATTTATCATACACTATGATCAAATCTTGATCATTATTATTATTTGTCCCTCGGGTTCATAATGGAACATACGGATACACTTGCTCGTCTCCATTCCACTCTCTTCTCTGAAATCTTTTCAACCTGCCTCCATGACTGCCCACAAGCTCTCATTTCCTCCTCATACCATCTCCTCCATGTCACCCTCAACAGGGACACCCAACTCGTCGTTTCCCATCTACGTTCCACTCGAGCAACTGGCCTGGTGCGTGATGTCCCCGAATGGCCTTCTCAGTACAAGCCCAACGCAATCCATCTCCACTTCCCCCCACTACATATTTGTTGAGTGGTAGGTTGTTGGTTGGTTCGTCACCAGCCAGCCAGAGTTCCTTGTTACCTATTCTCATTATTCTGGCAATCCATCTGATCTTCAGTAACGAGCCAGCGTAGGCGGCAGTTGTTGATCAATGTCTACAGTTTGTTGGAGATGCCTTTCGTGACGTGCTAAGTTGCTGAGCCATAGGAAGCACTGACTTCACTGAATTGGTGTTGAAAATCCGAATGTTGTTCACGCATTATACTGAGTGCAGTAGATCTTCACACTGGTTTCAGGCTAATGAACGCCTGTCTTGCTGTCATTCCGATGCTGGTTGGCTTAGACGTCTTCGTGTGTGGCAGTGCCTCGTGTAGTTGAAGGGGTGCTGCCTGCCTAGATAGGTGGGTGAAAGAGGCTACTTGCTTTAATTTTCTCCTGTTAATGATGATTGGAGCTTGTTGTTGTTGTTGGTGGTGGTGGTGTTGGTTGGGTATCTTCATCACCTCTGTCTTCTCTACGTTCACCTGAAGGAAGTTCCGTCTTCGCTGCCTTGCCTCTCCTGTCAACTTGTTAGTTTTCGCCTGCAGATCTTCATGTTTGTTCGACATTAGACATAAATCACCGGCAAAATCCAAATCTTCTAGGATCTTTCCCCCGGTCCAGCCAGCGTATCCCCATCTTCTTGCTCCTCACTGTTTGTTGCATGGTCCAGTCCACCACAATCAGGAAGTTTATGGGTGATAGTGGACAGCCTTTTTCCACTCATGTCTCCACTTCAAAGGCATCACTAAGCTTCCGACTGTGAATTACTTGGCATGTGACGTCTTCATATATCTGTTGAATGAGGTTGGTAAAAGTTTGTGGTATTCCATAGTGTTGGAGCAGTTGCCAAATTAGTCGTCGGTCGACGTTGTCAAAGGTTTTCTCAAAGTCGATAAAGTTGAGGTAGAGGGTTGACTGCCATTCTATACTCTGTTCTATGATGATTCAAAGCGTTACAATTTGGTCCTCACATGATTTGTACTTCCTGAATGCAACCAGCCAGCCAGCCTGTTCCGGTGATAGTTTTGAATCCAGTGCATCCTTTAATCTCTCCAGGATGATGTGGCTTAATATTTTGCTTGTGATGGACAGAAGCATGATTCCGTGCCAGTTCTTGCAAAGACTTAGGTCGCCATTCTTCGAAATTTTGACAGGATATCCCTTCTAAAAATTGCTGGGAATCTTTTCTTCCTTCCAGACCTTCTAAAGATATATATGAGCATATTCGCTGTTGTCCCTGCGTTTGTTCTCAGTGCTTTTGGTGGGATTCTATCTGGTCCTGCTGCTTTCCAGTATTCCAGTAACCTTATGGCATTTAGGACAATCTTGATTATAGTTTATATAAATTATATGAATAGATGTCATATCACTTCAATTAATGCTGTTTGCATTACGTTTTCTCATATTTATGGTTAGAAAATCAAAACTTTAACATTTATGCAACCATTTTCATTAGCCTTTACATATACATACTTTATTAATCAAGGAGAAATATATTGGTAACAGAATACCTTCAATATTCAACGAAATATTTCCTCCTTATTTCTAAAGTCATTTCATTCATCTTTTATTATTGTTGCGTTCCCATACTGACAGTCAATTTTTTTCTAGGAATTATTACATCTGATAACTCGTTGATAAATATTACGTAATATTATCCTAAATATTCTTTAAGAATAAATAAAATCATCCTACTGTTCATAGATTTTTATGCAAATCTTTTAAAATTTCCACTGTTTTATTTTACTTTCGTAATGACAACTTCATAAACTATGCATCCAGTCATTATAATGACTGTGTGGAGATCTTCTGCACTCAGCATGCGGAACAAGATACGGATGTTCAACACCAACCCAGTCAAGTCAGTGCTTCTGTATGGCTCAGAGACTTGGCGCGTCACGAAAGGCATTTCCAATAAACTACAGACATTCATCAACAACTGCTTACGCTGGCTCGCTACTGAAGATCAGTGGAGATGGCCAGAAAGAATAAGCAACAAGGAGCTCTGGGAACGAACCAACCAAGAACCTATCACCCAACAAATGTGCAGGAGGAAGTGGAGATGGATTGGGCATACACTGAGAAGGCCGACTGAGGACTTCACGCGTCAGGCCAGTTGCTCGAGTGGAATCCCCAGGGGAAGCGACGAGTTGGACGTCCAAGGGTGACATGGAGGAGATCGTGCGAGGAGGAAATGAGAGCTTCTGGGTTGTCGTGGAGCCAGGTTGAAAAGATCTCAGAGAACAGAGGTCACTGGAGACGTGCTACTGAAGCCCTATGTTCCACTAGGAACCCAGGGGACTAATAGTAATAATAATAATCTATCATTCTACTTTATTAATTCGTTTATTCATTGAAACTTATCTATTTGAGATATTAGTCCAGTGCATCGAAATTCATTCAACTACTAAGTAAGTCATAGGATATACTGAAATGTTTCAATAAAATTCATCATTATCAATATTAGACTCTTCAAATTACTCAATATTTATTTGGAATTCATTTCAATTGTATTCATCTCTTGACTAAGTAATTTCTTTAACATTTCTACTTAATAAAGAAGAATAAATTAACAATAAGATAATGATATAAATGTATATGCTATATTACTAGCAATAGTTGTTTAAGTAATTAAAATAAACATATAAATGGAGTAAATTATATTATAGGTGTTCATTTTGTAAAAAATGGTTCTACAATTAACTCAATTTGTTCTTTCTTTGTTTTTAGCATACTAAGAGTAGCTTCTTTATTTTTATTCACCCATGATTCACCATCAAGACAAGCAGCATCTGCAATTTTCTGTAAATGTCAACAACAACAACAACAACAGCAAAATATTATAATGATAAACAAAGAGTAATACTATACTAAATCATTACCATTTACCCAGTTGATTGAAAGTAGTTAAACATACATGCGATATATTCTTTTCAAAGTTAGAATGATCTAATGTACAGTATAGTAGTAGTAGTAGTAGTAGTAGTAGTAGTAGTAGTAGTAGTAGTAGTAGTAGTAGTATTAAAATGAAGCTAAACAAAATACTTACTAAGCTCGTAGATATCTGAGCAGCTACTTCACTCTAAAATTTATTACTTCTAAGAAAAACATTTATATCTTTATATCAGAAAGAAAAAAATCTTTTGGTTAACACTTTTTTGATTGAAGATCTTGACAACTATTTTGCAACACTAATATAGCTCTAAATGCAAATTAGTAGTCCTATCTCTTCAACACTGCATAGTAGTCAACAATGTCTTACTTTTTCAATAACTTAGAATTAATGGTATTAGATGTTCTACAAAACTATTTGTTGAATTGAACAACATCCTTAGGTTATCCTATGCCTGACAGGTTGAAAGATGGTAAAAGAGATTCAATTAAGAACAATCGACAGTCAAAAGATTCCATAAAGTTAACAACGAATCGAATTACTTCAGTGTGTATAGAAACAGTATGTACTTACAAAGATTCTTTTGAGAAGGCTTCCGGGTATTTGATCACCATTGCCTTCGAAGTATAGGTCATATTCCGTGGTGCCACCATATGAGTAACGCAGACATCAGGTATAGAGTTTAAGGGAGAAGAGGTAAATTACCTGACACGGTTGTGAGACTTCATTGACTAAAATGGTTAGGACACGTGTTACGTATGCCTAGTCACCGATTGCCTTGTCACACAATGTTGACCAAAGTAGATCCACACTGGAGAAAGGCCCGAGGTGGCCAGACTAAAACATGGCATGAATGTATGAAGTCTCTGACTGTTGGTTTGAACCATGTGGGGCGATGCAGACTAGGTGGTTGGGGTCCGTGGGACAAGAGGGACCAGTGATTGGAGACTCTAGGTGATATGGCGCAGATGTATACATACATTATCCTCATCTTAACGAAACTATACCGAATCTCACCATTTTCTCATTCTTGCTTTCTCTCTTTCAGTACTTCATATATCTTCCGACTGAGTTTTCTTTTCTTCATCTTCCACTTCATTGCCTCTTTATTTGATGTACTAATAAGATCTGAGGCAACTCGAACCGTTACGCAGTAATACCTGGTCTTATTTGATGATGAAAATAATATTTTTCTTATCGTGAACTGAATAAAATCATGGATATTTCCAGTCGATAAAGTTATTGCACTTTGTCTAACTGTGAAATTCAAGATGAGATTGATGGTGGTAGTGAAATGATAGATGATATCTTCATCATATGTGCAAAAGACAAGTGTGTGAACGAGTTCTTATAATAATTTGTGCCTCACACAAAATACTGTTTGGATAAGAATGCCTTCTGCTTGAAGGCTTGGCAGTGCTTGCGTAAACTTTAGACACTAAACAGTTGTTCGTTTGATTGCTTTCTACTTGGCTGAACCAGTTTGACTGACACAAACTTTTGAATGACCGCGACTGTTTCACTTCATTCATTGTCACTGTTCGCTTCTCCTGAATTAACTTTTAATTAGTCCCGTCGCCATTAGCATTTACTTTTTGAATAACACTGTCAACTGAATCTTCGTTCTATTTGTGATTCGTCAGCTGGATGTACCTGTGCTCCAGTGCGTGTTGTTCCCACTAAGACTCGAACCTCGTACTCATTGCTTCAAACATCAGGGCGTTATGCGTTATCGAGTCTCGTTGGGAACAACATCACTTACTGGAGTGCTGTTACATCCAGCTGACGAGTCCCAAATGGGATGAAACATGCGTCGTGAATCCCTCTGCTAGCCACAATCAAATAAATCATTATAATCGATATTCAGGCAATATCGAGGCATTCAGATGGGAGCCCATATGCCAACAGAGGTTGAACAATTCGATTCAGTAAAATGACGGAGAACTACAAGCATACCCATAAATAGTAATAACTGATTTGTATCTGAAAAAAGTAGAAATAAAGACACTTGTAGAATAAAATGTGTAAATTTTATTTGACGGCATCTCATCAGCTGAAAATAAACCAAATGAACAAAATTTATCTCAACCAACAAATATATACTCAACATACTTCAACTGTTTCAGAAAAAGGCCAAGTTAAAAATTCACAGTACTATAAGACACATGAAGGATATACAAAGACGGAGCTCATTTACACATCAGATGAAGAAAGGTGATGGAGTCAAGAAGCAGAGTTAAAGATTAAATTCTCATCAGTAAGTGGAAATCTTACGGGAAATATGAAAAGATAAAATGGATATTACGCAACAAAGGTAAACTATAGTGACCAGGATAGTGCAAAGTTAATCACAATCTGATCCTGTGGACAAATATCAGGTCTTAATCACTGAACTGAAACTGTTTATCAAAAATGAAGTAGACTGTCTGTTGTCTGCATATTGGTGATTTCGAAGGTAACAACAACTTCATGTATCATATCCATTAGGTGTCTGGTGATCTCACTTTTAATTTGAAGCGTAAGCTTTTAATGATATGTTCACAAAATCTAGTAGTTTCCCTTCTCTCAGTTTTTTCTAGGTATGTATGTTAACTGGTTTATCTGGGTTAAATACTCCTCTTCATTTCATTCTGATTCAACTGGAACATGTTAATAACAAAATTCTTCACTTTGTTATAATCTTTTCTAAAGTTGAAGTCTTTTTCTGAATTATTCATTTACACAAACATTCAAATGGGAGAAGTTATCACTAACTCATCTGTTCTTTGATTCCTATGTTAAAAAGAACTCACTTACTGACCATAAACAACATAGTTGTAGATTGAAGAATTTTCAAATTAAACTGATGACTGTAATTGTTAGTATATGAGGTTATAAAAGACTGAATCATGACTTTTTACTGTATTTATAGTGATGTTTTGTTGCTGCTGTATAACTATAATGTCCAGTACTATGATGATCACAGTTTACAGCATAACTTTCATTCGACTTCTTTCTAAATAACACTTCATAATTGATAAGAATTCTTCAGTCTTTCTGAATTTTTATTGAAGATAATGACCAGTATTTCATCGAAACCAATGACAATGCAATCTTAAAGTTGAAATAATGGAGAATATTTGTAGCTCATGTGGATAGTCTTGCTTGTATTGTGTTCTCTGAGCTGGGTTGTTTAATCGTGAAGCTTTCATCGTCTTGCTAAACGACTTACTGAAGTTAGTGTTGATCATGTTGTCTGGAGAGACGATGAAAGCTTCACGATTAAACAACTTAGTTCAGAGAACACAATACAACCAAAATCTTAAAGTTAATTACACTTTTATTCATATAAAACACATTATAAACAATAATGTTTAAATTCACTAACAACCTACTCTTTCCTCTCTTGTATAAACATTCTTATCAGCAGTTGCTAAAATTTCGCGAACTAAACGAATCAATGTAAGAAACTGATCACGACATTCTAAAACGATGTAGACTACATTCTAATAAATGATTACCTATCCATTCTAAAATATGCATAGCTTCTTTTTGTTCATATTTCTCAGCTAATTTATGAGCTGTTTCACCATAGATATTTTTACTATACATATCTACACCAGCGAAATAAAGATACTTGAGTAAATCTGCACGATTCCACATTGCTGCATAATGAGCTAGATTATAACCTTGAAATACAATTGATATTTTGTGTAAAAGTTAACGAAAAACTCACCATTTCTTCTATTCACATGTAATTCATTATAACCATTACTTATTGCTTTTTCAACTATATTTCGATAGTCAAGTATTGTAAATAATTCAATAGCAGATTTTTGCATTTCATCACATTCATTCATTGTTTGTAGATAACCACCAGGATCTTTATCATAGAGTTTAAGCAGTTTTTGTATCTCTTCATTATCTCCTTTATGTATAAGATCTACTATCTGAGACATAATGTTTAAGTCTGAAGCTAAAAGAAAATGTTCGTAGCTAGAGATATCCAATAACGACAAACAAATATAAATTTAAACACCTTAAATCGGTTGTATGTTTATGGCTAGCAGGAGAACCCAGTAAGAGTGTTTTATCCAACTTAGGATTTATCAGTTAGATTTACCTGCACTTCAGTGAGTGATGCTGTTCCCATTGAGACTCGAACCTCGTACTCGTTGCTTCAGACACCAAGGCATTACCCACTATGCAATAGAGGAACGATAGACACTTATTATACAACGGGTAGTAGTTATTACTATTTATTGATATAATGGAATTCTCCGTTGTTTTATTGGACCAAATTGTACAGGTGCAGGTACATCCAGCTGATGAGTCCCAAGTAGGAAGAAACGCGCCTCCTGGATTCTTCTGCTAGCCGCAAGCAAACAAAATTATCATAATTAACATTCAGGCAATATCGAAGCATCCGCATAGGAGGCCATATGCCAGTGGAGGTCGAACAACTCGATCGAATAAAACAACGGAGAATAACATGTCAATAAATAGTATTAAATGGGTTATGTTAGGAATTAGTTAACAAGGCAAATATTGATTCACAACTTTTTCTTTCATAAAGTTCGTTCTCCCCACTAATTTGAATACAGTAATTCACTAGAATAGAGAGGATTATGGGCAGGGCATCTACTCGATTTCGTGAGCATATCCTAAGATATCTGCGTTTGATATAACACTTTTGCAAGTAACTGATGGAAACTGAACGACAAACAGATACCACGGAGACCTTAAAAAGAGTAAATAAACAAAAGTGTCTCAAATTTGTTAGGTTTACTGAAGCTCTTCCTATCGAACCTCATATTTACACACACAAAATAATTCTGACTTGTTTTTCTTTATCGTGTTAGTTCCTTGTTATTTTGGCCATATCATAGCTTCCTACCTAGTAAATTTTGATGACATTTATTTATTCTGATGTTTACTAAATATTTATAGACTTGAATATTTCCTCATTCCGTTAACAACTCCCTTCACCTGAATCCTTATTTGATCAGCAACACTTTTCATAAACTAGCACTCACTTTGATAATTTTAGGTTGTATACAGCTGATGAAATTACGTTATTTTATTCAACCAGCACCCATGTTCGGTTCTGATTTCTTCATATACACCTATCCTCTTTAAAATAACATTTTCTAGTTCGAGTACCTAAAAACTATTCATTCTATACACCTGAGAACAGATTAGAATCACCTATTGTTACCAAAGTCTTCAGCTTATAACAAATTTAAAAGTATTTGAAATTGTTTTCTGTCACAAAAATAATATAATGAAGGCTTTGTAAACTTCAGGATAAAAATTAGATGTGATAGAGTTGAACAAGTTGAACATTGGGTAATTGGATTATAAACGAAATATATTTTGTAAAATCCCAAATGAAGTAGAAAGATAAATTGCTGACGTCTCGTGACTTCATGGAAATCGTTTCTTCAGAGAATAAAACATGTACAAGTTATCGAATAGTTTAAATAGTGAAAGGTGATGAATCAGATCACATTGTCTATACATGATGATGATGATGACATGAACGTGAATGTCATCGTTATGCTGGTCACAAAGCGTTCACAATTTGTCTTTGTTTATCAGTTAATTAGTCTGATATGAATATTTCAAGTTATTATTCATCGTAGACTGACATCAGTTGGAGGAACAAAGGAAACCTGGGAGCACTGGACAGCTGTTTCGTCCTAGTATGGGACTCCTCAGCAGTGCGCATCCACGACCCCAGCAGCAGGGATCGAGCCCGCGACCTTCAGGTTCCGCGGCCAGTGCGTAACCATTGAGCCACTGGGTCAGAATCCATATTCCCAACTTCTGTTAGCTCACAATATATGAATATGTGTATATGTGACTGGGTGGAAAAAAATAATAAATAAATAAAATGGATGACAAAATTCGGTTTTTTTGTATGTATGTACTTTTGACTAGATCATTGTGTGTGTTTTTGGAAATACTGTCCAGGTTGTTTGGATAGTTAGGCCTCCCTTTCTGTTACCCGAGTGCATTAGGATTCAACATGATATGAAATGCTTCTCCTATTCTTCTTTCTTTGTAGTTCAAAAATCTCTTCTGAATAATTTTAATATTTTCAATCTCGATTTTGTGATTGTGATATATGACGTGAACAGCGATCACCGACTTGATTTGTAGGTTGTCTAATTCTACAGGATTATTTGGTGATCGTTTTGTGTAGCTTGCATGTTCTTTAGCCGTAATGAGGATCTCACGGGATGATTGTCCAGTATAATAAGCATCACAGTCGACACAGCCTAATTTGTAGAGACAGTTTTGTGTGGAGGTAAAATCGACTTTATCTTCTACGTGGACTAGAGCATTCCTGAGAGTGTTGGTTGTCTTGTAAAAGGTCGTGATTCGGTGCTTTCTTAAGATTCTTTATAATTCTTCGATTGTACCTTGGTGGAATGGTAAAACTATTGTGCCAATCCAATAATCATCATTTGAATTTTCTCTTGGGTCCCACTGTTCATGTTTTTGGATCTTTTGAATGACGTTTCTTGGGAAGTTATTGGAAAATAATATATCTGATATATTACTTACTTCCGTTTGCCTGTCGTCTTCATTCGTGATGAGCTTAGTGGCTATCCTGAATAAGTTCCGAGTAAGTGAGAGTTTAGCACTGAGTGGACGTGTTGAGTTAACATCAAGATATCGATTTGAATGTGTTGGTTTACGATAAACCGATAAACTTAGACTTTCATTTTCATTCCTTTTAAATTGGCACGATATTGCCTAAATATTAATTATGATAATATACTTGATTGTAACTAGCAAAGGGATCTGCGACGTGTATTTCATCCCACTAGGGACTAGTCAGCTGGATGTACCAGTACCCACAGCATATCAACAAATAATAATAACTAAATACCCATTGTACGAGAGGCTACTGTCATGCCTCAATGGCCTAGTGGATAACGCCTCGGTATTTGAAGCGATGAGTACAAGGTCCAAGTTTCAACGGTAACAACATCACTCACTAGAGTGAAGGTACATAGATCTGACGAATCCCAAATAGGCAGAAAAATGCATCTCTATTAACCACAACCAAGTAAATTATCAAAACTTAAAACTGTTTGAATGAAAAAGATTATAATGTAGAAATTTATATAACCTGAAACTAGTCATCAAAACTATTGAAAATGATTTTCTAACTCTTATTTTCAGAAGTCTTTTACATGTCATACATACGCTTCTCTTACTTTTCTAGTTGATAGAATTTTGTAAAATATTAATAATCTGTTTGCTATGACAACCATCATAAAGTAACTATTCATAAGAATTTAAACATATTGACTGACAAAATCTTAAGCAATCTATATCCAAAAGACAGTTCTTTCCTGCTTTACTATTCCATATTAATAAACATTTGAGAAAGCATAATTTATTCTTCTACTAACTAAGGTAATTGGATGAAGTCATCAGCAACCTGTTAGCTGTTATATATGTCGGTTGACAAGGTTTTGAACCTTCATTGACTAAAATGGTTAGGACACGTGTTACGTATGACTAGTCACCGATTGCCTTGTCACACAATGTTGACCAAAGTAGGTCCACACTGGAGAAAGGCCCGAGGTGGCCAGACTAAAACATGGCATGAATGTACGAAGTCTCTGACTGTTGGTTTGAACCATGTGGGGCGATGCAGACTAGGTGGTTGGGGTCCGTGGGACAAGAGGGACCAGTGATTGGAGACTCTAGGTGATATGGCTCAGAACCGATGTCAGTGGCGCAGATGTATACATATATTGTCCTTAACTTAACGCTATACCGAGTCTCACCACTTTTCTCTCCTTTCGTACTTTATGTTCCTTCTGATTGCATTCTCTTATCTTCATCTTGCGCCTCACTGCTTTTTTACTTGATGTTCTGACATAAGGTGTAGCAACTCGGACCGTTGCGCAGTAATACCTGGTCCTAGGTTGATCTGGATGAATGGAAGGATGTCAAACAAGTTTACCACTTAGGGTGGTTTGATATGACATTATTTTTCACAGCAGTTCAGTATTTCTCATAGAGATTAGGACTGAGATTTGCAACAAATCTAACCAATTCAATATGTGTATATATGACTGAAATTTCAGTTGTTTCTAAGCTGACCCTATTCTCAGTGACCAAAATCTAAATATATACGCTACAGTGTCTGTTAATCTGTGAGAAATTATCAGATTACACGTGTATTTTCATACCTTCAGCTGAAGATAAACTTCATATTCAATAGCCCTAATTACTTATTGAAACAGCAAACAAATCCAAAACTAATTACAAATAGCATCCATCAGGTTAGCATAGGACTATTTCTAACTTTTTATATGATGAAGTTCACACTATAAATGCTCGGTGCTTAAACTCAATTATTATTGACGAGCTTTGATAAACTTCTAGAACTCATTGCTATCTGAAGATCCAGTTATACACATAATTCAGTACTACCAGTAATCAAAACAATAAGGAATTCATAGGATAAAGAAAGATTAGCTTTAAACAATTTTTGTTTATAATGGTCAGGTTTAAGATGTTTCATTGGAAGACCCTCAGCAAACCGTAGTAAGCTTCAGATGTCTCTATTTCTTGTCCAATTTCTAACAATTACATGCTTAAAGGCTGCAGACATCTTAATGATGAATTCGCACAAGCATGAAATCTGGGTTCAAGACCTCCATTTAATCTGTTTCAAACATCTAAAATTGAAACAGTATACACTACACTGTATATGAACAAATGTATTCTTCTTATAATATAATTACTTATTTAAGACAAGTATATAAAAAGGGGAACATGATTCAAACATATGCTAAGAATAGAGTACATTTATTCTGACTATGATAACTTCCACTACAGCTTCAGTCAACTGTTTGAAATTCGAACGAAAACTTAAGAGGATTTACAATGAAACTACTTGTTTGAATAAACTCTAATTGCAATTTCAATAAGTATGCTTTTCTTACATAAGGTACAGTGAATAAAATAAAATACTTCATGTTGGATGATATTATGCTTATCATCATTCAAGAAGCAACAGTTCTACTGTGAATCATATGTAATCAGTAAACTCGTGTACGTTAGAAAAAAGTCAACACCAAATGCAGTTTACGCAAAAGGTTAAATAACTAACAAAGGTTTCCTTACAAATCTACAACATTAGAACACTTATCGTATAGATGTATGAAGCTATTACCCTGGCTTCATATAAAATCCATACAGATGGTACACTGACTGATTACTGCAAAGCAAGCAATTTCATGTTGTGTAGTCCTAAGTGCTAACCGAATTTTATCAATCATCTTGCAACGTGGCCACCAGTGTATGAGATTCCCCATCACGACGCGCTCTAATGGATACTATTTGGTTGAAGGTAATCGGAAGTAAACCCAGGACCCAGGTTTTTGATCATTGGCACTCGTCAGTAGGGTGTGATGATGAGCTTGGTGGCCATCTTGAAAAATGATCAATAGGATTCGGTCAACACTCAGAACAAGACAACATGAAATTGCTTGCTCTCCAGATACCGATTGATGTACGTAATCTAGTTCCACAGAAGGTCAGTCGCTGCCAGAATAAATAGCCCAGTGGTAACGTCGCTGACTGAAACACTGGGCGATGCGGTTTTGAATCTCAAAGGGGATATCAGCTCCATCAGGGTTGCAGATATACTTTTCTAACAAGCACCAGAAAGCACAAAACCCAGGTCCAGAGCTTTCTGCCCATTACCTGTAGCCAACTTATATCCATGTAGATAATGTTTTATTTCCTGACTAACAAAATAACATTTAACTTCAGCCGATTTTAAGACATCACATTTTTGGATGGCTACAATCACCATTACGCATAAGAGTCTAGTGACTGGTCTCATGAATATTTACAACACAATAAAAAGGATGGTAGAATATGGATCGAAAACTAAAATCGACCATTTTACGCAATGGAAGTATGCATTGGAAAGTCTAAGCCTATAGTATTTTACCTTAAGGTATTCTTGAACTGTCCAGCTATAACTTAGTATACGGATGGCTCTCATTCATTGAAAAAATCCAATCCGACTTTAATACTTCTTTGATGGTTGGTATAAAACTTTGAGAAATGACTGAATATTTTTCCGCAACTATGATACTGAGTAAACAAGTACAAATAACAGTGGTGACCACTTTCCTTATAATTATTCTGATGAGGTCTTTTTCTATTTACCTTAGCAACTTTATTGCTTGCATTATGGCACATCGCATCAACATGGGCTGCACTACTTGTAGTAACTACTGTCAAGACTAATGAATTTTAGAAGTTCAAGATGTTCAAACTTTTGGCTACCACCCAAAGAAGAAATAAGAGGTCACACAATTCTATGCCTCAAAACTTAACCCTATCTGGTTGAATTCACCCTACGCATTGTAGGTATCATGGAAGCATGGGTGATTTCTGATCCGTTTGCAAAACTTAGATTACCAGGGTTTTTCTTTCTGAGTATAAACCGTCAGAAATGCTAGAGGGGCTGGTTTGGTCCGGTATGTCCATATTTTCCTCCAAACATTATTCGGGTACTCTACCGTGTAGGACAATGGGATTTACGAAGTTATTAGCTGCGTAACCACCCATACTTAATGCTTGTCACTGGTATGATTTACTGTATTTGAACTCACCAGAACGACAACCCTATACTGAGACAACTTGCGAAATAATCAAGTGCAACTGCCATCTCATTTTATGGGATTTAATCCCTTTTATCTACACTGATTTGAATCATCCTCTTAATGATTAAGTAATATATTTGACAGCAGACTGCGGCTAACTGGCATGGAGACTGCCTTGTTATTTCCTTGAACATAGGTGTTTCGCTTTCTCCCGGAGCTTGCTCCTTTTAGACTCTCCACTAACAAACAAAGCAGCTGATATGTATGGTTTTGATAATTTAGCTTGACCAGTGACAACAGTGAACTGTGTTTGTGACATGGTCCATAATTTTGTTTAGCCTCATTCATTCTTATGGTCTGAGGACACCGACACTGTCAGAGAGGTTTCTGTATCTATAAACCAGTTAGTTATCGACATTGTAAGTCACTGATCATAAAAGTCAGAGGGAAATATGAAAAGAATTCTCCGAATATGTTAAAATACTTTTACCTTTGAGTAAATGAAAAAGTGGAGAGAGTATAGTTACCCCAACTCAAGTTCGTAATTATGATTCGGCGAGGATGACTGCTAACTTGACTAGGGTGAGAGCCTGGACAAATTATTTTAACACATAATTAAATAGAGACGGTAGTGAGAGTCTAGCGTATTTTTCTGAGGATATATAGGAATGGAGACCAATGACCATTTAGCTACCTTACGAATACTCCAAGGCAGTAACACTTTCAAGTGTTTCGGATGAGCTTCACTATATTGTCACTACAGATGAGAATAACTGTCAAACCATTATTTTTACTGTTTGATACACTGTTAAATCAGTCGAACTCGCTGAAAGACTGGAAGCGTAATATGATTAGTCCTACCTTAAAAACTAAACTTACACGCTGGACTGTAACACCGGTTCGTTAACTCTAACCAGTACACTTGTTAAACTACTGCAAAACATTATCTTTGATGCCACTCTACAGCTGTCAAGGAAAAGAGGCTTTTGGTTACGTAATGGCAGAATTGTGGGGTAGATCATCTTTTCTAACACCCTTATTGTAAGACAAGGCTGAGCAGTAACAGTTGAAAATAACGCTTTGTTTGATGTAGTATTTGTTGATATGATTTCTTAGGCTTAGAAATTAACTCTGGTACAAGTGCTCACTGGTCACAGAAGTTGTTTCCAGTATTCTGTCAACGGTACATCACTACCCCTGGGTTCTTAACTAAACTACTTAGGTATCTTCATGAACAATGACTTGAAAACTTTGACACAATGCAATGCAGCTGTAGAAAATGGCTTCTGGCCATTATCGTCAAAAGTTTTGATCAGGATACGTTCAGGATACTTTATTCTACCTACCCACTTAAAATACTGCATTCAGTTGCCCGTTCCATCCCTAGAAAAAGAACAGCTACGGACTGGATCGTGTTTAAAGAGTGGCAACTAAGCATCTGGCCAGCCTTCCCAGTCTTCCCTATGAGGAAATATTAGACCCACTGAGCTTATTATCACTGTCTTACCGTAAGAAAATGGGTAATCTCATACTGGCATTCTGTATCCCAAATAATGGCTTTGGTATTGGTACGTTTTGTTCTTTTCTCTCCTGCTACGGTTGGTTATTCCCGACGTTATCACAAGAAAACCTGAAAACCGCCATCGAACCTGTAAATCAGTATTTCTCCCATCAATGACTGGAACTCCTCGCCTCAGTAAGTAGTGTCAGTTCCTTCGGCCAATGTGTTCAAAGCTAAACTGGGCCTTTATACGGATGTCTACTGCAAGAATTAACATAAAACAGTTGGCCTAATGTTTTTATGAGCGAAAACAAAAACAAGAGTCCTATGAATAATCATACAACCCAAAAATCTAACCAACACCAAATCACCCACCAGAATTACCAGAGCTAAACCTGGAAAACGGATAGATCTGCTGCATTAGAATCCACCAAAGACCCTTAGCTATTCCATAACACCCTGAAGCGGAGGCGAAGAAATCAGTGAGTGTTCACAAATTAGTCAAACAGATACCGGATATTCAACTATCTGACTATAATTTTAGCACCATCTATTGATTTCTTTAACGAGAAGATGAACCTGAAACACAATGGCAAACTCAAAAGTACATATTGCTTAGCTCCGATGACTCAGTCGACATTTTCTTCGAATCAAAAAGGATAATTTGGGGTGAAGCGTCGGGCCACGAATGGGATATGGAGCCAGATGTCGTGCATACGGGGCCAAAAGTAAGGCAGCCACTTACATAAGGCTAAGCATCTGAAAAATTGGGTCAGATGTAGGACCCTCCCAAAACTTATTGGGCTAAACACAAGACCAGTTGTCAAGACCTAGGTACAGTAGGATAATTAGGGGCAAATGTGCTAAATATGGGGTCAAATGCACAGCCTACAAATATTAGGCCAGATTTAGGGAAAATACTGCGAAACGCTGCCCCAGGCCCTACATTTGGACAAACAAAAATGTTCACCAGGCCGGATGATGTCCTGGTTTTTGTGAGAAGTAAAACTGAAAACCGATCTCGCAAATGATGGTAAACAAATGCACCAAGGTAGAAAAATATCTATAACACCTCCAGGAACAAAAAATACATATTCCTGGCGAATGAGGGTTAAGGTTGTCCCGAACGTTAGTTTTATGTGTGAAAAAGGTTTTATGTGTGCTTTGCAAGCTGACATCTGGGAGTGAAAACCGCAATCGTAAATCCTTTTTGCTCTAATTTCAAGGTTCAGTTAACTTACTCTGATTTGTGAGCATCAGTCTTTATGAATAAATGTACTTTCATCCAAATTAGGAGGCGGAAACACAAACAATACTTTGCACATGGATAAACAGCCTGAAACATGATTCAGTGACAAAAGGCGTTTTATAAAACTATAAAAATGGGTTTTTAGAAGATGGTTCTACAGTATACAGAAAATACACGAAATTGGGCATATGATGCTGCATCCCATAAAAAGAACAGTGATATCTGAGGATAACTTTAGGTCTTACTCATTTCTAGCTCAATATGAAACTTGAAATTTTAAGAACTTGGTGTCAGTATTAAATTACCGCCAGACGCTAATAACGCTACTAGGTCCAATATCCAACATTTGTAGTGGGAGCATGGGAAATTGATAGTTTTTATCTCTAGAGTCTAGTTCCTGGGACTTTGTTCGTGGTCCTTGACTTTACCTCTCAGTGGACATGGAAATCTCTCCTGCTTTCCTGCTTTTATCTCCTGTGTGATGAATGTTTTTATGCGTTTGCCATTGCAATTTATAGAGTAATTAGGGAGCTACCGGTTACTGGAAATATTAAGGATCCGTCCCAGCTCCGGCCTGCACGAACACCCGGATTTAAATAGCAAGACGGCGAGGAAAAAGGATATAGGAATTACTCGAAAGCTAAAAGTATATAGGATGGGTCTAGTTGCTTTGGTCGAGATAGTAGGTTATGTAGATGTATCAGCAAAAGAGGCGGTGAATGGTGGGTAGAAAACAAGTAGTTAATGGTCAGTAAAACGGGTAATTCTCCGAGTACGTCTATGGAAAACCAACCGAAGCGAATCAGTGTTTAATCGTCTTGTGAGTGAGTTTGCAGGAAGTGAGCTTGTCATATTGCTACTACGTAACGTTTGACAAACCCTACTTAACTTGATGTGCTCTAGTGCCTGCCTAACCAGTACCTTACATGGCGTGTAAATACTGATACTGAAACGCAAATCAAAAGAACTATTTTCAGGGATATATTCGAAGAAGTACTATATTTGGTTAGGATAAATGTAATGGTAATGAATAGGGGAAAAGTTTTATGTCCAAAAACCATAGATGGCAGGCACTGCACGAACGGAACTCCGCAAACCACACTGGAGGGGGCTTATAAATTCTTTTCATGAGAGAAAGTCTGGAGGCGCACTTGAGATAAGCTTTTTAAAAGTGTTGACGGAGCGGAAGTTAAATTCTTGAACCTGCAGCTAATAACTCCTCGGCGAGGCCCGGACTTGTATCTTGGGGCGAGGTTCGTGGTGTTACACGCTTCTGTGAATGTGCCAGTTCATAAGGATGTATACGCTACCTTAAAGAGAAGCAATAGAAGGTTCCCATTCACACATTTTAAGAGGGATAGGGGAATCATATCAAGCCCGAGCATGTAACAACAATGATATGCTACCAAGTCAGAAGAGACCCACTTTTAAGGGAGAGATCACGTGCACGTCACACGCAATTGTCGATAAATATTGTTGGTTTTAATAAAGCCAGAGAGTACATAATGTTTGAATCACGCATATAAAAAGAAAGTCTTTCGAAGTTATATATCAGGAAGTTAAATTATGAAGGCTTTGACGACGATAAAAGCAAGTGGTTACTATAGAAGACATCAATATCATGCAAGACTAAGTTCGTTCACTCCACAGTTTGACGTACTTAGCTGAAGATGTGCCACAAAAGGGTGGTCATCAGTATGGAGGGGTAATTGCTCAAAAAAGGCATAAATGCACCAAAATGTTTCATGAGAAAGCAATTCATGAAATTTAAGCTCACAGTTACCATTAAGGTGCAGGTTTAAGCACATGGAAATTTCATCAGATTTACATGCACTGGTGATTATACCGTTATGATACGAGGCAGCTGTTTCTTCACTCGACGTTAAGGAAAATATGGGATTGTTCATAATACGGCATGAACAGAGCTTCGATAAAGACGAGATTCTCTGTCCTCCGTCGTATCAATTTCAAGACTTGAGGTACGCGTAATCATTACTTTTGGGTTCAAACAGCTGGTATGCGGCAAAATGAAGGCATTTTGAAGAGGCAAAGGATCTTCGAATACCATTTGATAGGAAGATATTGTCTTAAGGGTTCATCGTTTGGGAAGGGAACGGTGGTAAGAGTGTACTGCTGTTATGTGTATAAATCTGTAAGGTCACCAGTTAGTGACTTCTAAATGTCGACCGGATCCCCGTTAGTATTCTTACCTTCTTGGATGAGAGATATGTCAAGTTCGCGAAAGTTCGGTGTTCTATGACAAAGTATAGAAATTGAGCTAAGTTTGGAACTATCGGCAAAGAAAATTGGTTTCTCCTTTGAGTAGTGCTCTACCTCCGAGTTCCGAGTGGATAACATGGAAATTTATATGCACTGCGAAGTTTCTGTTCCTGAAGTACGGTCATCGGAGTCTGCGGATTTTAGCCTTCGTGCAACTAGGAACCGTGTTTTCACACTGCGTCCACGCTACGTGACACTTTCGGTAACCTGTCGATGGAAACAGGAAGAACTTATCGTGCGATGTTTTTAGTACGGCATCTGAGTCACTGCCTGAGAAAAATACGTGCTGATCTTAGCAGCGGATAAAGTAGGTAGGTTCATCTCATCTATCTCTCTGAAACCACATGGCCGTCATACGTCGAGAAGAAGACTGTTTAAAACGATATCTTCTTTACTTGTAGAAGGAAAAAGCAACCTTTTGTGGTCGACGTATAGGAGTGACGGACCAATATGTACACAGAAGGTAAGTATACCTCTTACGAGTACGGGGTTTAGAATATCATTGTCTCAGCCAGATCTCAGGATATTTTGCGCCCATCTACAGAAAGTCATTGTACCCAAGAAACTGCTGTGCCAAGGTGGAGCCCAAACGGGTTCCAAACCAATGCAAAATAGCATATAGTGAGTATACGTCTCTAGGAGAAAAATAAAAGTGTGAATATCGTAACACCTTCCGTGGACTGTCTCTATGTGGTGTTTCTTAGGGCATGGGAATAAAAGTAAGTTTTGTAGAACTGCTAATAGACTGAAAGTAAGGCCTGTGAATGCTCTTCCGCCTGCAATTTTAGTCCGAGTTTGAATGGCAGCAAGCCGGGAGGCTAGGTTCGGTATGAGATGAATAAATTTACTCTTCTTGCAATGAAACTTACACTTCATTACCACCGTGGTCCTAAGCCTAACATGGAACATTGCGCGACTTTTATGCCACCTGCGAGTGAAGAGAAACAACTGAAGGCATTCATATGGCTGACCGAACCTCATGCATGGCAGCAACTATTTTCGACGCAATTAGCCTCTTTTGCTGCAAAGCCTAATACACAAATACCCAATGATCTATATTGTGGCATTCGGTCAGGTAACTTAACCATTTCGATACTGGCTATTTCCTAATATGTCAGAAGTACGGCCTTTGTAGTTACTGAGGTTACAAACAGATGTTAAATTGAAATTTACCCAGCGAAATATCTCACCGGGCACACCGGTCAACTATGTTGACTATTTGTGACGTTGGTATCGAGTAGCGTGTGGTCAGGGGGACATGTGTAGCTGACAGAAACAACAATACCAGTTCGGGATTGCGTTCAAAAATGCTGATTAGCGGAACAATTAACTGGGAAATCCGAAGCATCGACGTAGAATGCTCACGCTCAACATGACTTGCGCACAGATTTTGTGAAGTCAGTGGTTTCAATGAAGACTAAGTTCGTGGCCAACATGATAAATGTGTGCCAACAAGTGGGAAATGCCAAATGCTACTGAATCTCCGCAACCCAAATCACTTCTTCAATGTTTAGTATTGGATGTTACCTTAGCGCCGATAGTAATCCAGGCCAAAATTAAGCTACAAAGTGGGCTAGTTTAGTTGGAAGTTCTCAGGTATTATAAGTCATCTGAATAATTGTTGCTAGGTGCTCCAACGTAGGCATCATGTATAGGAATTACATACTACTCAATTTTGTTACCGGGTGACGAGCATAGGCTATGAATTTTATGCCTCAGCCAAACAGATAGGCGACTTTTTGGATGACTTCCTGTAGTATACATGACAGAAACTTGATTTTTAACCTACATGACACAAAGTTCTCAAAAAAGGTGATAGATGAAGCGGCTAACTCAGAGAAACTAGAGGGAACTTCAACCACGCATAAATTTTCCCTAGGAGACTCCTTACTGAGAAAGGGTTATTGAAGGCAGTTATCTTAACGATTGATGCCAATTTGGATGAAATGGGCAACCCTTATCTACATTCTGACTTGTGACCACATGTTTTCTAGATGAATGTGACCATTCTGGTCTCTGAGTATTTCGTCTTGAACTTATGCTGGAGCCCAGTAGTGTTGTCGTGAATCATGTTGTTCTGCTACTGCTTCTCGGGGTGGCTTAAATAATACGCTCACGTCCACGCTTATATCTGATGGAAATTGCTGGACAACCAACTTCCTGAGTTATCTGAAGTGAATTGTTCAGGCGTTAATCACACAAGCATATAGCTGAAGTCTGATCTTTCAGGATAACCATCAAATGCCATGGTAAGCATGTGTGTAGTAGTTTAACATTCGTCAGCGCATTGTCTACTCGATAAGCAGTGCTGAAATTCGGCCACACGGGACTTGTATGTTAAGCTTATGGAGTCCCGTGTTCATACCATTCTCGTCCCTCACGTAGATGCTCACATCATTTAAGTGTCCCAAACCATGTCTTTAAACCCAGTGTATGGCAGGTGTACCCAGAGCTATACGGAGCTCACTATTATTGTAGTTTCAGACACTATCAATGCAAAGATTCCTTGACCACTTCTTAAAACAGGTGGCGTTTGCCTTGGATGTGACACCTGACAAAAGGGGAGCGTTACGTCCCTGTCAAAATACACCATAGTATTAAAAAGCCATCTCACACCCTTCTCTTTTTCAAAAGTGGGATACTATGAGGAAGAGTATCTGATCGATAGCTATATTTCAATGTTAGATGACTATAAGGTAACTGGCATAATATTTCACCTGGCCGTTTGATGAATCAGTATGCTTGCGCACTGAGTTATCATGCCTTCAGGACAAAAGTATCCGCAACCTGACGTTGGGTGTCAAAGGTTCAACAAATCTGCCATAACTGCTGTTATGAATGAAGAGAGCTGACGAAGTGGACTCAGTTTTCAATAATGTGGACAGTTATTAATATAATCACTCTGTATGAGCAGTATCTTTGCGACAGTGAGCCGCATAATCAGTAATAGTACGTTGCGTATCGATTGCTGAGTACAAGTAAAGCCGAGAACATGTGAGTATTCAATCACTCTGTGTTGTCTACAGA